TTTGAACTACTTATTATACTTGATAAAGCTTGATTAGTACAATACCGTATATTACACGTGTACTTGTTACGAAAAATATATTTGAAATCAAAAAATAATAACAATTTTCTTTTATTTTTAAATACTTTTGGAAAAATATATTAATTTTATATTTTAAATGACACCGACACTTACACGACTTACTATTTTTATATAATAACTTTTTGTTAATTTATATCAAATAACTACTACGTAGCTAAGTTAGTTTAGAAAAAAAAAAAAAACCCGAAAATTTATTGCACGGCAACTTTTTCTCTCTCATCAAAGGAAACCCAAAATCATCAAAACTCCTCCGTTGAGCAGCGCCCCTTCTCTTGTAGGGCCTCTCCGGGCCATCTCGACGGCGGACATCGCCTTGGCCGTTCGGCCGACCTTCGCAGGCTTGTCGAATGGCAGGGTCCTCTTCTTGGGTAAATCGACGGATCCCCTCTTTTCGGTTCTCGATCCCTAATTGCCAAGGAGGGTACTGGCCGGTGGTTTCCCCGACGAATGGGCAGCGGCGATTTCTTGTGAGCATGAGTCTTAAGGCTGTGGCCTCAATTTTCTCTTTGGGGGTGGTCGGGCTGAGATCGGGCCGTTCTGCTTCCCTCCTCCCGATTTCTCTGCTTCTGGGTCGTCCGAATGTTTAGGCGGAATTGAGTCTGGGTGGGGTCTCTTGTCCCAGGTCGTCGGGGCTGGAATGGTGGAGCTTTTTGTGAATCTTCGATTCCGGGGCTATGGGTTGTCTACCCGGGCAGAGCAAGGTTTTCGAACCTCAAATCTAGTTAGGCGAATATTTTGCAGTTTCTAGTTTTGCGACTTGGACCGGGTCTCTGTCTTTGTGGGGATTGCTCGTGGGTGTCGGCGTCGTCTTGGTTAGGTTTGGTTTCACTCTGTGGGAGGGGCTGTAATCTAGTTATTATGGTGTTTTTTGTTTGCTTGTGTTGTAAGTGTCCGTCTGTGTTTATTTCTCCACTTTAGGAGAACTTATTCTCCCTTTAGACTACGAATAACAGCAACATTTCCAAACACCCAACCATTCAACCACCCTAATATTTAATTACTTTCTCTCTCTTCCACATCATCAATAATCATCCCAACCACACCATCTCACTTTTGCAAGTTTATTAGCAACCACACCAACATCCAACCACATCCTTTTTTTTCTTAATTTGATTTTATTTAATTATTATATTTTTTATTTCATTTTATTTTAATTATTAATTAATTCTTTTATTTGCTTTGATTTAATATAATTATATAATTATTTTATTTGCTTTGATTTAATATTATTATATAATTATTTTATTTCATTTGATTTAAATAAGGCGATTAAATAAAATATAATCACATCGATTACATTAAATAGGCAATTTAACAAACGACTCAGATTCATTTCTTTTGTGAGAAGTGATGGGATTTATGTATTGTGATTTAACATATTTATATTTTATTATATAAAAAACATACAAATTTAAAAACTATATATTTATGTCAATTTAAAAATAAAAAATAAGTATAGCAAAATTGATCTCTATTTGTAGAGAATTAAAAATTATGAATTTTGGTATATTTATTTTTTTTTTATTTGATTATATAAAAAATATATTAGTTTAAAAATTATAAAAAAAAAAAGATGAACCAATGGGATGG